AAAAGTAAGAATCCACGCAGCAGGTTTTCTGGAGAGTTTAGAGGAGATGCAGGAAGATGAGAGACAGACAGGACAGGAAAATAGTTCAATAAAAACAAGTAAACAAAACAAAGTGTTGAAAAGTAAAATGTAGGTAGATTTATCTCCACTACACGTTTTTACCTGTATAAAGCAATAAGTTACACACATGTCATATTTATACATCTGATACAATTCAGACCACCTTCAAAACTCAGTCACACACCCAGGGCCGTTTCAAGACATTTTGGGGGCCAAGGCAAAATGACCCCCCCCCCCCCCCACACACACACACACACACACACACACACGCACACTAAATATCAATCCTACTTTTTGGAAAATAATAAGCAGTTTGTGCATACAAGAGAACTTAAGAGAATTTAAGGCGAAGAGCTCGCACATACTGTGTCGTGTTGTTTTTTCTGTATGTGTGTGTGTGTGTGTGGGGGGGGGGGGGGCACCACGAAGCCTTTGTGCTTAGGGCACCAAAATAGCTAGCAACAGCCCTGCGTGTAGCTGTTGGCCAGCTAATAGCCGTGTCATTTCAGGACATGTTGCTTCAACTATTAACTTTTAAATCTTTATTCTGAATTGCTTTTTCCGTTTTAGCCCACAGTCTTGTTATTGAAATGAAAACAAAAAGAAAGGATGCTTATGGAGATGTACAAAATTAGCAAGATATTATTGTTGATCAATATCCTCCAGCTCCGTTCTAATGACAACATCCCATCTGTGTGTGTGTTGCTGTCCAACTGTCAGCAGACCAGGTCAGTTGAAATGGCAGAGAAGCGAAAAACAGCAGACATCAGGTCGTTTTTAATGCTCCAGAACGTCAAGTAAGTAGAAACTTGCATTTTGATAAAGACATCTATAAGAAAGAAATGAAATTGTTTCTAAATGGTTTCATGAGGCAAAGTCCAGTCACTGGAGCACAGGCAGCCAGAGCCTGTCAGACACAGGCACAGAGTGTCAGGTCAGTCTCTTATGAGGACATACAGTGTTGTATGTAGAGAGCTGTTTTTTTTTCATGTCCCCCCCCCAAAAATTACTCTCTGAAGTTTTACTGTTTATTGTCCCCCCCAAAACTGAAATGGGATTTCCGCCCTTGGTGGTTAGCATGAATGAATGAATCAATCAATCAAAGATACTTTATTAATCCCAGAGGGAAATTAGAGTTTCAGTACACACAATTCAGAGATCAGACACACATGGGCAAAGACACATGACAAGAATTGGTGACTGTGGTCATTCGCAACCCTGAGTCGCGCTACCTTAATAGAGATGAGAGGGTAACATGAGGGTTGGTTCAAGTGGAGGGGAAAAAAAGGCACTTCATAACTACCCAAAAAAAAACCACCTCAGACAGATATGCAACAGACTTCAGACAACACAACATAGGTGTCCACTAGGTGGGGTGGTGGGTTGGGACTGTCCCCACTTCAGTTCCTGCAGCCACGATAAGCAGCGCATGTCACCTCAGTGTGGATGGGGGAGGAGCATTAAGGGTTGGAGGGTTGCAGTGACCCTGGAACGTTTCAGCGGCCTTCCCGCAGTCCCACCCAGGCTGGGAAAGGAGACAGAGTTGAGTTGCCATAGCGACGGCACATTCCACATATCTTCGGAGGGGGGAGTTTTTGTTGTAGCCTTGCAGGCTCAAGGGCGCCAGATTCCGATTAGAAATTGTTTTGGGGCCAGACAGAGATGATTTCCTCTCTGACTTACAGTTTGTTGGTCCTCAACCTCTCAAAATCCCAATAATGGACATTAATCTATCCCAATCCGTGCTGATTCGTCCACTCTCTCCTTGATGGCATCCATCTTTGTGCCAATAATGAATCTCGGCCAAAGTCCCAAGCTTACAATTTATCTCAACAATTATGTGAGTCTGTGAATTCACAGCACGGTGCAAACCATCTCTGAGCTCCGGGATCAGGCCAGTATTCCTCGACAGCTCGTTAATTTTCCGGTAAGCCAGGTAGCCTCCAAGGCCAATGAGCAGGAAACCCGACACCAACACCACGAATATCCACACGTCTTCAGAGTCCTCCACAGACAGCTGGGATAAACAAATCAAGTTCCACTGTTTCCAGGAGTCCATGATGTGTCCAACTGGGTCTGTCCCAGAGGGGCATCCGGGAGCCCCTTCTCCTGTTCTCATCCAGGGGCGGAGTTAGGCCCGGCTACTTGGGCTGAAGCCCCGGATGTTTCATGAAAAGCCCCGGATCTAAATCGTGGAAGTAACATGCAGTACCAAAGTCCAACAGAGAGGGAGCAGCTGGCAGTAGTTTGTATACAGCCTGCCTGAGCCTCCACCACTGAAGAAGAAGTCCTTCAGCAGCCGGCTTCTTCTACACTCTCTGCCTGAAACGCATGAGTGAAGATGGACATAAGAACGTTTTTTAGACCAAAAGTACGGCGACAGAACCCCAGCTTTGATGAGACTGGTGCTGACTCAGGTTTGTGAGTCTTATTTGAAAATATTTGTTGTGCTGCTGGTTTGCCTAAAGTTAGCTTACTATCAGGTAAAGTTGTTGGAGAAAGAGCGGGAATATTTACTATCATCTCACACTAAACACTAACAGGAACAGTACTCTGCCCTGAAAATGCTGAATATGTAGCTTCAGATTAAAAATTATGTGGTACAAGACATATATATATGATGTTGACTAGTGTGTGTCACGTGTGTGTGCGCGCGCGTGTGTGTGTGTGTTAAGCCCCGGATCTTCTTCAGTCCTAAATCCGCCCCTGTTCTCATCGTTGAAAAAATTTTATCAATTGCGTTGAGAACCAACTGACGAGATCCATTTTAGTGATTTTCAGTTTCCAGTTTCCAGAAAAACTGCAGAAGCAGCCGTGCACCCAGCACACACAGACAGACAAAGGCCTTGAGGATAAGATATGGAGGAGGGGAGGAAAAAAGCGTCTGCACCCGCCAAGAGCCGGAAGAAGAAAAATAAATAAATAAATAAATAAAAAAGGGGATTCATTTAAGCAATGCTCCTATACAGGAAATTATAAAGACACCAATATAAATGAGACACCGGCGTTTTGGTTTGTGTTTATTTGCTTGTTCCTGTACATGAATTTGATCAATGAGAATCATCCGTTCCACTGTCAGACCTGGCAGCAGTCGGGTGTGATGCAATGCATCGTAAGAGTGTAACCCAGAGGTAGTGCACGCCAACAGAAAATGCACGCGCTCTCATCAAATTAACAGTTTACTCTGCTTTGTTTTTTTTTTTTGTTTTTTTTTTTTTGACTTGACAAAGTGCCCAAGTGCCACTAAATTGACCTGCTTCATTGATCAGCTGCCACAGGTTTGGACAGGAGAAAGATCAACGGAGCATCCTCCCAGCCTGGAGGGATGCAGTGACTGGTGAGTGATGGTGCAACCTTTTAGATCCAGTGGTCTGATTTGTTTTGGTTCGGCTTGAAGGAGAACCATCCTTCCTGACTGCTGAGGGACAACATGTCTGGGTTATTAGCCTCAAGATCTACCTGCTTAATGCCTGCTCGACTCAAATGAGGAATAAGCACAAATATTTTGTAAATTTAGTTTACTATAGTGTTGCTATATTAAAGAATGTTTCATGTGAGCGTTTTGTTCCACTCTTCTTGTAGAGTCGGAGGGTTTTCCAGCAGGAACAGCCTGTTTAAGGTCAGATGTTCTCCTTCAGGATGTTCTGCTAGAGATAAGAATTCATGGTTCCATCAGTTACAGCAAGCGGTCCAGGTTCTGGAGCAGTGAAGCAGCCCCAGACCATCACACTGGCATGCCTCGGCGGGTTTTGGCTGGCCCAGCGCCTTTTGTTCTTGTACTGGCTCGCCTTTCCTCCTGGGCTCAAGGCCTTCTGCTGGGCTTCCTGGTTGTGGTCCACCTTCTTGAGGTATCTCAGCATGTGTGACCCTCTGCCTCTGGTGCTGATGGGTTGTGGCACCCAGGTGGATGCAGTTTATTGTGTCAAAAATTCAATAAGGTCAACTTTCCTGTTCTGCAGCAGATCCGCCATTCTGTCTGCCAAAAGATGTCTCTGATGAATGTCAGACGGGTTTTTGTTTTCTTTTTCTGTCTGCAGCAATTTTCCTTGGAAATCTGCCATAAATGCCATTTTTTACACCACATCTGTTGTTTTAATGTGGGAGCTCTGACCTTAAACTGATCCAAGTGAATCTTGCAGTTTTTAGATGTTATTCTGGGGGTCTTGAATTGTTTAAGAACGAGCCGGGATGTGTTGCTGTTTGAGCCTATCTTTACACCTCTGGGTGGTTCGAGGAGCAGAACTCCGGTTTTTAATTAACGTTATTAATCGCACTTCAAGCACGTTCTGGTTTCTCATCCCTGCAACTTGACATAAAATGCACACTAACCTGCACAAACTGTTTGCACCAAATCAAATAGCTTAACTTGTTTAATTCATAACCTGCTTTTTAGGAGAATGTGTGTCCAAATGGGACACGTCGAAGCCCGTGGATCCACAACAAATAGTCGACTAATCAGCAGGCCTCATCTAAGGTGAAGGCATTTTGTGAGAATCATAACTGGAGGGAGTCAGAGAAATACATGCTAATGGTGAAAATAGTAAAGAAAACTAAAAAAGAACTGTGTCCGTAGCCCAGCACAGAGTAGTAGCAGGGCCCTGCCTCCCACACACAAACACAGGTGCTAACCACAACACAACACATGCAGCGTTGGGGAGAGGCTTTCTGCAGGAAGTCGCATTAATAATTATAATTAGAACATCACCAGTCATATTAACATTTTCATGTGCACGTGTATTAGGGTTTAAAGAGCACAAGAAAAAACCCGCTTTGGTGATTTTTATTTCTGCACAAACATCAAAGCCTGCATCACCCATGGGCTAGTGTGGATGACATGCAGCCCCATCCCGACATTCCTTTGTGCTGCTGCAAGATTCAGGAATCTGGCTGACTGCCCAGCAGACTGTCTCTAGGACCCAGCGTGTCCCCTTTGTAGTTTTCGTGTGGAGGAGGACTGGGATGTGCTCCTTCTATCCTTCTATCACGATTCACATCGCGGCTCCGAGCTGGAGGAGGATGCTGAAGGGGGTGGTCTGAAACCAGGAGCAGCGCCCCCACCTGCTGCTTTTACCTTTTCTGTTTTTGTTCATATTTATTAGAACCCCCTTTAGTTTTCATCGTACCTCTATTATCATTATTATTATTATTATTATTATTGTATTCCCATGTTGGGGCTGAGATGAGATGAGAGCCGGTGCGCGTCGCGAGCATCCTCCTTGCTGACTGGAGTCATGAATTATCCAAGCTTTACTCCACAGAGCCGCTCCGTCTGATTCAGACAGGAGGGAGCGCTGATTCCTCCTTAACTTTTCATTTAGAGCATCTTCGACGGTTGCAGCTGCAGCAGCAGGTACTTTTGCACCTGAGGTGAGTCCGTCCTCCTCCTTCCCTTCCCTTGCTGGACGTAGACACAATTTAAGGCTCATTCTTCCATGCTGGCTCTGAAGGACCGCTGAGGAGCGTGGGAGAGCAGCCTCATCCTGCCTCCTGATTATTCCCGTCATTCCCTCCCTATTTAGGCTTTTTCTCTCGGTATGATTCAGTATTTGTTGTGATGTGAGCTGAGGTCAGGTTGGATGTTTCTGGTTAGGTAAATGAAAGCTGGGACGTGACAGTGAATACTAATTACTGTCAGCGACCGTCTCTGCCTCCTTTTCTCCCCCACCCGTCTCTTTCCTCCCCCCGGTTGTCTTCATGTACTTATGGCACGCTGACGGGGACTCCCTCTGAAATCGGGATTATAGCGCCGCTAAGGTCATCGACTTAAACTGAACCTGCGTTCCTTCCAGCGGCTGCCAGGCCAACTGGAGCGGCCATGTGGAGCAGGGAGAGCGCATCCTCCTCACCCCTCATCTGCCTGCTGCTGCTCACGGCGCTGTGGGAGATCAGGTGCGTCTGCTGGACACACACACGCACGCACACACACGCTTTGTCTCAGGGGAGCTCATGCATGGATCTTCTTGACCGCTGATGATGAGCGCAGCTTCAATCATGCTATAAAGCTAAAGGACATGAGGGAAATAATCCAAAACCAGCCTCACAATGCTGGCATGAGCAGTTCTCACTTTTATGGCTGCTAGGGGATCTTTAATTCGACTCACGCCTGTAATTGGGATGAAATGACCTCTTTTTCTTTGCTTTACAATCTCAAACTGACAGGTTTGGGGGACAAAAGTCCAAGCACATGCCTCTATTTTATACTTCATTGTGTTTTATTTGAAAACCTGTTGGACTTAAATGGACCAGTGGCAGATCAGGTCAGGTGCTACAAACCCACTGGGACTATTGGAAAAACAATGTCACAGGAAATGTTACAAACATATTCCAGCCCCATTAGATGCAGCTTACTGGGACATGGTTGGACAACCGTTTTGCTTCATAGACCCAACAAAGAGTTGAAAACCATCCTCAGAGGTTAAGGTCCATACTGATGTGACATCATTGCACAAATATATTTACGAGAGCCTCTAGTTCCACCACATCCTGAAGGATCTTAACTGGACTGAGATCTGGTGACTGTGGAGGCTGTTGGATTCCCGTGAACTCATGGTCATGTTCTAAAAATCAGTTAGAGGTGATCTGACATTTGTGACGTGATGCATGATCCTGCTGGAAGTAGCCTTCAGAAGATAGGTCCATGTGGTCATAAAGGGATGGAAGTGGTCGGCAACAATACTCAAGAAGGTTGTGGGGTTTAAACCAGGTTCCGGTGGGAATAAGGGTGTTTGTCAATGTCAAGGCGCCTGGCCTTGTGGGGTGATGTCTTGCGAGGCCAGGTGCCTTACTTATGAGGACACTCAGTGGCGTGTCTAGATCTATTAAAATGGGGTGGCCCAGGTGAGGCACAACTTTTTGCATGGGTGGCACCAATGGTTATGCTTTTTTTGTTTTACCCTCAAGCCTTTTGTAGACAACGAAAAGCCTATTTAAAGGTAAATTAGTGTGGTGGCACCTGGGGTGGCCAATCATATTCCAAGGGTGGCATGTGCTACCCCAGGCCACTCCCTGGACACGCCCCTGAGGACAATTGTCCTTCCTTGGTCAAAGAAAGCGGTTAAATGGAACAGACTTGCGTAACATCATGTGACACGGGAGAGAACGTTATATTTTATACGTATTAGTTTCAATATAAATATATAACGAGTCTTTTACTTTAAAAATTGTGTATATGTTTATTAAATAAAAAATATAAGTGAGTTACTACCCGCTAGCCACCGAAGCTGCAACTACTAGCAACAAACCAACCATAGATAACTTCTTTGGATCTAAAAAAAACATTTTAAATTAGTTTTCTTACTTTTAAACTCGAAATTTGCCCCCGAAGTAGCTGCCGGCTTCTGATCCGCCATCCTTTTGAAAATACTGTGGTGTATTCTGGGTAATTTTTGACCAAGACTAGGCTACAAGACACCTCCTGTGTGTCCTTGCTCAGCTAGCTGAACGGCTAACAAACGGAGAACAGACACCTTGGTAGAACATGAACAATGGAACACGTCTTGGCGGCTCCTGATGACGTATCTTCTAGGCAACCAGGGCGGGGCCAAGACATCAAGGCGAGGTTCCTTGGCATTGAGAAACACCTTAAGTTATGTTATGGCTAGTAGAAGCTAATCATTAGCAGCTCTATCACCGACTCTATTTGCTCTGCAATGTTGAAGTTTTATCTCCACAAATAACACAAACCTGATGTTGTGGGGTTGCTAATGCTAACGGTTAGCTTCTTCTAGTCGAGACATGCTCTGCTCTCTCCTGGATGCTAAACCAACAACAGCCTTCCCTGTTCATGAGCAAAGATGGTGAGTCCATGTATGTTCAGCTATAGTGTTAAAAACTGTAATCCTCAACTGTGTCATCATTATTACAAGAACAAAAATCTTCCATTAGGACCAGAATGAATCCTGATTGGGTGGGCCAGTAAGGATACGGCAGCGGAACGTCACTGCTTCAAATAGACGGGAGTGTTTCAAACCATCAGCGAAGCGCCAATTTCCAGAAGCGGCACGCCATGTCGCTAAAGATCCTGGAAGTGGAGAGGAACAACATCATATACGACATCAAACAGCGATATCAAATGTGATTTCCTTTTCTTTTTTTTTTTGGTTTAATGGCTGATTGCATAAAAAACCGTGACTCGGAGTCTCGAGGGATCTTGTAATCTCACGAGTCCAGCGAAGAGCACAGCGAGGAAGCTGTGCCACTGCCAAGACTCCCCCAGTGTGGAAAGGACCGCTTTGAAGTTGGCGAGTAAACCGTTCCGCTGCCGTTTCGCGCCGCTGATGCTTTCAGTGTGAAACTGGCGTTCGAAAGATGCTGCCCCTGAATTTGCCATTACATTCAGCCATAATTATTGAATTGTTGCACGTGGCTAACTATGGCCAGTGACAACAACTGCTGATTTAGTTTTCATGAGATGAAAAAAATATTAACTAATATTTCTGGTAGCTTTAAGTACTTTTTATTTTTGAGGGTGAAAACCCGTCCAAATACATTTAAAACAGACATTATGACGAGGAACATGGTTGAAAGGAATCAGACATTTGTACTTTTGTAGATGCCTAACTAGCTTTTAGCTTCACACATTAGCTATCCAAATATGAGTTACCATGCTAATGTTAGCTCAGAACAGCTAAATGTGATTCCTTCTGTATCAGTGGACACATTTTGTTACAAGATGGCTACAATGCTTTCAACTGCTAAGGATTTGTTGATCATGTGTTATATTTAGTTTTTGACACAGTATCAGTAAGTGCAACTCAATATTCCACACCAGGGTTTGCATTACAGGGGAGCTAGGAGGAGCCCGGCTCCCCTTAAAGGGAGGTGGGCTCCCCGGAAGGCCTTAACTGACACACCCAGGGGGAGCCTGATAAATGACCCGTCCTACCCTGCTGCTCTTACGACATTCTCACTGGGCTCCCCCAAAAGCCTGTGTGTAATTCGAGCCCTGGTCAAAAATTCAATAATAGAAGCTAATTAAATGGGTATGTGCCAAAATTAAACCCCCCAGATGTAAGCAGTTACTAATTATTTCATATTTAAAGAGCAAGTCACCCCCTACCAGAGTCTTAGTCCACTCCCACTTCATGTTTGAAGCATGCAACAAATGCTGTTGCCTGGCAGATCGAGAGGGCGGGGCCGCCAACAAACACACACACACAGGCTCACAACGACATTGTGACATCATAAGGTACCAGCTAACATCACAATGTACATCTTAGCCAATAGTGGTGCCAGATTTAAATTCAAATGCAGTGCAGAGTTTTTACCTGACAATGGCACAACACTGAGTTTTAGGCAGAATATTTAAATTTTAACTAAGATGCGCTTAAGTGCCAAATTATTGACTACACGTGCCTACAGCACGATTAGACACTCATTTATATAGATTATCAGCAAAAACGCTGATTTGGGGGTGACTTGCTCTTTAAAGCTTAAAGTAAAATAAGTCATTAACCTGAGCCTGTTACTGCAGAGCTGGCTATGATTAAATGAGACCTTGTCAGCATTTATTTACCAGGAATCTGTGTACTGATTACATTTGCATTTTTGTTGTGTTTTGGCTCTGGGATCAGATAGCTCTTGAATGTTGTGACTTGAACTGGGTCAGCCATGATGAGAAACGTTGTGTATCCGTGTGCTTGTGTGGGCATGTATGCAGTTGCTGCCAGATAAAGATGAGCCCTTTGCTTTTCATAACCCAAAACTCAGAGGAAAACAGAATCTAAACAGATCTGAAATGTGATAAGGCCCTTGTCTATTGGATTGCGTGTCTCAGACAATTACGTTGGTTTTAAATAGTTTGCCCTGTTCCATCTAGATCAGTGAATGCTGACGCCGCATCTGATGACCTCAACATCACATTGTTCACACGTATCCTGGACAGCCTGCTGGATGGATATGACAACCGTCTACGGCCTGGTCTTGGAGGTGAGGGAATGATGTTACTGTTGCTGGAATTACACGGGTCCTGCTGGTGCAGTTTCATACAATGTCTAATTGCTGTTATGAAACTGCACGTGTCTCCCTTTTGCTAATGGTTGACAGCCAATTTGTAGTGAGAACACTTCATTTAGCATCAGCCTTCATGGTACCAATACCCTTTGGCAGCAATCCCCTCAAGAATAGACTCATAAACACACTCTGTGTGTGAAACAATGAGATTATGTAATGCTCAGGCCACTTCCCGGTCTCGTTAGACCCTACAGATGGCTATATTATATTATTGCTTGTGATTTTTGTAGGAAACCCCAGCAGGCGAGAAGACTCTTGGATGCTACACAACAACACTGACTTTGTGCTTTAAGCTGACAGTGTTCACAAGGGAGTTTCCAAAATATCTCAGAACCTTTGTGAGGGTTCTTTATTTCATCACGTGAGTTGCAGGGCCTCCAATCATGTGACTTCAATTTTAAACATGTTCAATTTTAAATTTGCATAACTAATTTCTACTCAAAATAGTTGTAGAATCATTGCACACATCTGGAACCCTTCTCGATTCCTCTTCAGTAGCTTCTTAATTTAGTTTCTGACAAGGTTGCAGGTTTGAATCCTGAATGCAGCCACTCTGCATAGAGTTAGCATGTTCTGCCTGTTCATGTGTGGGTTTTCACCAGGTTCTTTGGTTTCCTCCCAAAAACCAAAAACCTGCATGTTTGGTTGGTTGGAGGCTCTAAATCAGAGGTACCCAATCCTGTTCCAGGGGGGCCGGTTTCCAGCACATTTTAGTGGTTTCTCTGCTCCAACATGCTTGATTCAGTGGTGGAATCAGTGGCGGATTTAGCAATTTGGGGGCCCAAGGTGAACACAGACATGGGGCCCCCTTACACAAAATTTCCAACAATCTTACCTTTAACTGGATTTGCGAAACTCTCCCCTCTTCTGACGTGAGTTATGTTCCCTTTTTATTAGTCCTCCTCTTTTTTCCTGTATTTCGCTCCCTTTGAGTGCTTTCAATATTTGCTCTGCTTTCTTCTTCCTGTCAGTGCTCCTGTGCTTTTGCCTTTGTTTTTGTTTTTCTATTTTCCATTTTGCTCTATGTTTTCCTCCCTTTAAACATTTTCCATTGTCTTTCCTTTCTGCTTCCTTGTGATGTTTACATTGAAAAACGACGTCACTTTTGAAAGTGAAGATAAAAGCTTTTTTGAAGCAAGCTGCATCTTGAAGCCACTAGGATAACTCCATTTCATGCTTAATGTTTTGACTACGCCCTTTTGTATCCTACGCCCACGGTAAAATGGACATTTGACCGAATTGTGACGTTTACCCTCTTGCTATTTAACCTTCCTCTCACCCCCATCCTAACCTTAACCAGCTTACGCGTGCAAAGCTTTGTTTTGCAATTCATCGTTCCTCTCAAACACGCTTAACGGAAGATGTAGACTGACATACTGGGTTGAGGTTAGGATGGGGGTGAGGGGAAGGTTAAAGAGGTTAGAGGTGAAATGTTGGTGAAATCTCTGTTTTATCGCGGGCATCAGATACCGACGCTCTGGCACAGCGCGTCGCCTCCTGACGCGCTGGGGATCCCAATGACTTGGAAACAAACGCTTGGTCACACCGCGTCATTTTTTGATGCTTAGGGTGTGAGAATGTGTTGTCTAAATTGTGTGTAGATGTTTGTGTATGTGTGTGTGTGTGTGTGCCCGATTTTTTTTTATTTCCCCCTTTGTGAGCCAGCCCTTTAAAACCCACCCTGCAGAGGTTTCCTGTAAATTCTATCTATTCTATCTGTTTCCACTATCTGAACTTCAGGGTAATTTTACCATAACTTCCTGTCATGCACATATCTCTATCTTCAGTGGGCAGGCTGAAAAGACGGTTTTCCAAGCCATTTTCAGGAACAAATGGAGTACCAGAGGTGTGGACGCAAGTCACATGACTTGGACTCGAGTCATTGTTTTAATGACTTCTGACTTGACTTGATAAAATCTATAAAGACTTATGACTTGACTCGGACTTGAACGCCACTGACTTGCGTCTTGAATGGACTTGCATCTGTTGACTTGATGACTTGAGCATATTTGACATTTCAGCACAAAAGTGGCACGACGTGGACAAAAATCATAAATCATTATTTGTTCTGGGTTTGATGTACTGCTAACTGCAGCAGCTCTTTGTTTATAATCAGTTTCAGTTGCACTTCCTGCTTGTTTGAGCAAATAAACGAAGCTTTAAGAAGCTTTTATTCTGGAATTTATTTATTATCATTGTCATTAAATTAAAGTTGGACAGATGACTTGATTATGACTTTGAAATTCAAAGTTAAGGACTTGGACTTGACTTGGACATGGTTGTCTTTGACTTGGACTTGACTCGAGATTTGACTGGAAAGACTTGTGACTTGTGGCTTGCAAAGCAGTGACTATTTAGCGACCCGATCCTTCCCATTCCATGCCAGTTTGGTCGGTGGAAAAGGCCCACTGGTCACACCTCTGCGGAGTACCTCTACTGGGGTAGGTATTCAGAATGAGTTGCTGGGTGGGACCTGTGGTGAACTCATGCTGATTGGTTGTAACTCAGCAGGAAATGACTCGGCAGACGTTATCCAAAACAACTGGTATTTGTAAAGTTGGAAGAGTTGCTGTTGAAGCAGAATGAAAGGAAAAGAAAGAAGCACCATTCACGCTGCTTTAAAATTGTTGTTACTAAACGCTCAACATTTAAAAATGCTGAGAAAATCCTCCTACAACAATGTAATTCAAGAGGCTTTGTTGTCTCACAGAGCATTGTGAAAAACTGCGCTTTTTCTGGTCATTGAACACCACATTTGACATCACACAGCCACTCTCCCGGTCCTCCGAATAGATTAAATTACACTGTAATTTGACAGAAAACCTTTAATGTCATTGATGTCTATGGATGCTTTTTTGGTGCTGATCGGTGACATCACTCACTCCCAACGCAGTATGCTGGTGATGTTTGTGAAAAGTCCTGAAAGGGCTGAATTTGTATGGAGACAACAGCTGAGAGGACCAAGCCATCGTATCTCCCGGTCAATTTTCCCCTTCCAGAAATTTCCCAGAACTCCCACAGTGGAAACTCGCCTTCTGTAGTTAGTTCAGATTATTTCAGTCTTAATAGCACAGTGCACTTCAACAGTTGCTCACTTCATAAGCCCCAGCGAAGGTATAATTTGCATTATAATACTAACCGAAAAGATCTTCCATGCAGCATTTATCTGCATCTCATTTCCAGATGGCCCCTCACCCCTAAAGCCGAGCTCTTTCTTAGGATTTGGTGCATTTTATATTTCAAACTCCAGCTCATACGCTACCACATGGGAGCTCAGCTTGTTCTACTGAATGTACAGTAGAGGTATGAGCAGGTTCTTTTATTGTACAGTTTAAGTAAAACAAACTGAATTGGCACATTTGATGAGTCTGGATGAGGGTTTAGGGCATGGCAGAGGATGATGGAGGGCTCATATCATGGATGTAAATTATGGGGGACAAGTGGGACATGAAAAAATAAAAATACAAATTGCTTACATTACATCACAGTACATGATAAGACGATCACTTTTACGGATTTCTGACAAATCGTACATAATTTCTGAAAGGGGAAAACTCCGGAAAGATACTTTAAGATATTTGTGTCAAATGTGGGACAAATGACATCATAATTACATCCTTAACAGCTTGCATGTGGACCGGGACCCTAATGAACCCCTGGATGAGGAACTTTTTCTTTTCTTAGAAGAGGATAAACCTGAGCTTTTCAATGTTAAATCATGGATTTGTTATTATGACATGAATCTGATATTTACTAAAATTCTGTAAAGCCAGAATATCACTGGGCTGGAACTGTAGCCCAAATGTGAACAGCACAGGACCTCGTTCTCCTGTCACCAGAATTTTGAATCTGTTCAAAATACATGGACAAAAAATTGTCTTTCTTAAGTCTCAATGTTGTTCCAGGCATCTGCAACCATGGAAATGGTAAAATGTCAATCATCAATTGTGTAAAATGACTATTTGCAACCGTTATTATTGCCCTGACACGTGCAATATTTAACAAAAACACACTCCAACACATATATTTTTACACATCACAGCCATTCAGATGTATATTTGCCTTTTATGTGTCAGGCTTGGCTCCAGTGGAAGCCAAACCTCAACGAGTGGTGTCTCACTGTACCTCTCCAACGCACGCAGGCCATGCACCAGGCTGCTGATGGAGACACGCTGAGACATCAGATGTAGTTTTCCACATTGTAGACACATTAGATCTTTATGCTGCATCTGTGGGGAAAATACGTTAACGCTCCACTGGACCTGGGTTTATAGCACATTCATAATGCCAGAATGAGAGGTTCATCACAGCTGCACGAGTGTGCTCGCCCTCACACGCAGTCCTGTCGACTGCTTCACGTTTCATGTAACGTGAAAAAGAGAGAGGTTGGACAAAAAAAAAACAAGAAGCCTGAATCCCAAGGTATCCTATTGAATTTTTTTTTTAGCCAGCCTCATCAAACATTCAGTCATTTATTTAGAGCTGCCACACATTTGCACACACGGTCAATAGAGAGCAGATTGCAGAGCGATGTGTCCTGACAGTGATGTAACTCTGTGGCTCTCTCTAAAAATGCTTTTGAGTTTCCTCAGCTGAAAACGGCACTTGAGGACAGCTGGGTGAAGACAAAATGGCTGGAACACTTTGTGATGTTAAACTATGAACTCACCATGTTGTGTTCGGCAGCTACCAATGGTAATTAACCCTCCGATCCCTCGTCAGATATTATATAATGTTTCTCTTGCGTGTTTCGCTGTGTGTCGCTGTGGCAAACCATCCATAGATAAAACACTCTACAGCTTAAATTCATACTAATAGTAACAAAGATGGATGTCAGAGAGTAATCTAGTGCAGGGGTTCACAAGAGTCAACTATTTTTGAGGGTAGAAGAAAAAAGAACTGAAATTGTTTTAGCT